GAAGAGACAAGTGCTTCCTTATGGTCCAGAATCAGCATGTCAAACACTCCTCTCCACATCTCTAAGTGTCAGACACCTCTAGCTACTGTGTGACAGATTTTCCTGATTGATACACCTCCAAGGAATGTAGTGGGAAACAGGATCAACAATAAAGCTGTTGACACTCATCTTTCACATTTTCAATTAGCAAACATAAACAAAAAATGATCAAATATATGTAAACAATGCTTAGACTATTAATTACTTTGCCTTTTTATAAAGGCTTCAGCTTTAATGACTCAGCTCTTTCCTTTTCACTAATAGTCTAAGATAAATTACTAATAATACATTTTAATAACAATATTATAATATAAAATAAAATTAGTTTGGACCTGTGGATTAAAAGTAGGTCTCAGTAATCCAGGGCAAGTTTTGCAGTGGATTTGGCGTGGAGCTAAAATATTCGTCAGCACACATTTGTGCAAGATAATCTGCAGCGCACCCCGCCAGAGCTTTCATGCATCAGCTCAGCTGAGAGTTACATAAAAGACATTTGTGAGAAAAAGGCAAGCAGTGGAGTTAAGAGATGAGCTGCTCAGGGATCAGTGCCACAACAGAGGACAGTGGCACCTCCACTGCCATCTCCATTGTACCCACTGAGAATGAGGGCAAGAACGTGGAACAGCCATTAGGTGGCAACAACTTCAAATTGCTTCCTGGCCCTCCTGCCTCTGACCCACTGACCTAAAACAATCCACAGAACATACAGGCACATTTAGCACAGTTCAAAGCAAGCACAGCCCTTGCTTCCCACGCCAGTGTGCTTTTTAAGCAAACAGAAGCCCATGAAAAATCCTTCCCTTGGAAGGAACCCGTTTCTGGGAGCCCGTGCTGGACAGCTCTTGCACGGTGCCATGGCAGGGGAATGTCACCTGCGCACATCATGGAACAGAAACACCTTCCTCCAGGAAATTAGTGAGGTGTTTCTTTAGAGGAGCAATGAAGACTGATCTTGATGATACGTCTGCATCTTGCTTCAAAAGACCTTAAAAGATTTTCCTGTATCAGGTAAAGCTGTTTAGGTATTTCTGGAAATTTTTAGGAGCTGATAAACCATGGTTACTGGAATCCAGCAACTTCATTTTGACACTGTCTTTTATATGTGTTTCTCTTTTTTCTGTCTGTATTTTTTCCAAAAATTCTTAGTATGAAATTTGAACTTTAGAGGTATGAAATTTGAACTTTAGAGGCTTGTTTGGCATATATTCTTCGCTATAAATCAAAATAAAAGTCTAGACTTTAAGACAGAAATTCAGCATCATAAAATCATAGAAGTGCTCAGAAGGGACCTTAAAAATCACCCAGTTCCAACCTCCCCAGATTTAACTACTTTGTACTTAACAGGATTGTCTCCACCACACACAACCAAACTATGAAAATCAAAATGTTATTTAACCTGAATTTTCTTCCTTTTCCCATAACTGCTTATAAGGAGACAGCTACTACATATTCTCTTCACCACACAGGCTCTTTTTTACATTAGACAGTATCAGTTTTGCTTTAACAGAAGCAGCAAACAAAACCACTCATAAAACTGCCTTCCTGCCAGTGACATCATAGTCTAGCATAACCTATGCTGGGAAGGGTGTCCTTTGCTTAGGTTGATAGAAGACATCTGCAGGATTGTGCAAAATAAGTATACACTGACATACACAAGGACATGAACAAAAAAAAAGAAAATAATATTGCAAATAACACCAACAGAAGTACAGGTATTAAAAAAAAAAGTGAAGCAATTACTGAAGGTCATTACTTACTTTAAAACTCAAAGATGAAAATTAAAGGGGAGAGACTTGGTGGACTATGACACAAGAGAAAGCAAATTCTGCTATTAGCAGCAGAAACTGTTCATTTGACACAGTGATGACAGACTGATTCCAGAGTGACAGTTGTTATCCAGCCACCAGAAGGAATTGCCATTCTGCTAAGTAACATTTTGAGTATGAACAAATTTCCATAAGAATAAAATTTTCAACTGTGTATTCAAGCATAAAATAGCTTGGATAAAATATTAATCCTACAGGTGAAAAGTGCTTCCTAAGCTCTTTTCACAGGAAATCACCTCTCTGCAGGTGGGCAACATATAAAAATCTGTGTAATGTGTTATTTATTTTACCACAGACACTGTCTAAGCGGGTGATTGGAATTCATGCAAATATCCAAGCAGGAAAGCTTGCAGCTCAGTGTGCATTATAAGCAGTTGCTGCTTTCCTCTCCACTTCACCAGAAAGACAGAATATTTCTAAGGCTTAATATGCAGCAGTACAAAGATTATATTACAGTAATATAAAATAACACAAGGTCTACTTTCTCTTTGGTCTTGGAAAGAAAATATAGAGTCATTAACTTGGTCATCAACACAGCTGCCAAATTGTTTTGTGAAGACTGTATTTTTAAAGAAAAGAGGAATACTGCACAGCAATAGACATCATATGAGCCAGCTTGGTGGCTCACCTCCTCACCTGCTATCAGCCCCAACACATTAACTTAATCAGTGCAGAACAGCTCTCAAATACACAGGGTCAGTTCCTCCCAACCTTTAGGGACAGAAAATACTAAAGAGAAGTGATGCAGTGCACTGGAATATCTAATTAGCTGATCACACAGAATCAATTAGGTTGGAAGAGACCTCTGAGATGACTGTTCACCACCGAAAAAGCACACAAGCAGTGCTATAGTTGAAAAGGCAGGAAAAGGAAGACCAGGGAATAGCTTGAATGTGTGCAAATCTGCTTTACACAGTGTTAGAAAAGACTCATCCCGTAAGCACAGGTTCAGGAATCTGTCTCCTCCCTGGAATAACTCTCAAGAAGGGGAATGCTGGATTCCAAACCCTCCCTGTGCTAAGGCTAACACCACAGGACTAGTCTACATCTCAGTTACACACAATTACAGTTCCTCCATCAGCCCACCAGGAAGTTATTTGCAGGAAGCTCTGTAAAGGGATTGCTGAGGAAAGCCCCCACATGTCCATAACACAATCAAAACAATGGCCGTGGAGCAACATTTCTCTTCATTACAGGTGCTACTTCAGTTCTAAAAAATTACTTTTAGCCTGTCAGGTAGTTTTGAACACTTCAAGTGTGACATTAATTTTGAGATAGAGCCTTCAGCCCAAACCAGGGCAGATTCCAGAATATACTGAGCACATGCACCTAAACCCCAGTATTTCAAATACACAAGCTAAAATATGCATAATCTCCAGCAACTGCATTTTTTTTACCATAAGAAAGAGTAAATATTTGGAATTCAACATGCGGAAGACAGTATTGGTCTTTTTCCCAAATATCAACTACCCAAACAGCTGCCTGGCTACCTTACAAGACACTCTTTTACTCACAGCAGTTCTCAAATTTTACATCTTAGATGGCATTTCAACCAACCAGAACTACTGGGCCTATTGATAAAGTTTCAAAGGCAACACACTGGTTTTCTGAGCTGAAACAGGGAGTGAACAAGGATTTCCTAATAAATGACAGACCCCATCTTACTACTGTAAAGGAACTGCCAATCTACACAGCATTATGAGAAAGGGTAATAAAATTATAATCAAACTCATTATATTATTTAACATTGTAATAGAGCCAACAATGCTAAATCTTTATTAGTAGTAGTAGCCTTTTTCCTGCCACACTGAGGTATTCCAGACCACAGGAAAACTACAATCATTGCTAAATAGAGCATATTTGTATAAATATTCTTAGAGGTAGTTCAAAGAGTCTAGAGCTGAATGTTTAAGACTGCACTACAACAGCAGAGAGAGAAATGGGGAATATTAAAAAAAGGGAAGGTGGCAAAAAATGTTTCCTTAGAATATGGGACTTTTCACCTGCAGATTGCTTAGAAAAAATGTCTAAGGAAGGTACCTGAGATAAAAATCGTCAACAGGCTTTGAATTGCTACATGGAGGTCAAAACCCTCCTGCAAAATTCCTGTGGTATAGAGAGTTGGGAAGATCAAACCCCTCTAACATTTTCCTTGTTCAAAAAAAGAAAGAAACAACCATAGCATTTCTTTAGTCAAGTAATTCAATTCTAGTTGTGTGACAATATGCAGAGCAATAATTAAGAAATTCTAGTTTCCAAGCAACCCCCTATGCTAAAAGAGACTGAAAATATCCTAAAAAAAAAAAAAAAAAAAAAAAAAAAAAAAAAAAAACCAAAAAAACCCAGCCAGCAGTACCACCACCAAATACAGAGATATGCCTTTTCTGATTAAGCTACATAGTTCCAACAGTAGAAAATCTTCTGGAAAATGAAAAAGGTAGTTGTCAGAATTGCAAAAATAATTTTTAAACAAGGAAAATGTTTACATATGAGGCTTCCAGCAACAAAAGTAAGTCACAAAGAACAGTACAATTTTACAGATAGGCATCTGTAAAAGAAGAGAACTCTCTAGAAAAAACAGACTTCCAGCATTATTTTAGCCAATTTACAGAGGCAGCTACCCTTCAAATCACTGGTTTTGGAATCCCTGTTGATTCCTGTATGGCACTCAGACTTATACTGTAGAAAGAGTAAACTGTCATTAAAAAAGCAGGAAAGCTCAGATCCCAAAATACAACTGTTAACATTTGAAGGTCCCCACCAGAACAATGAGTTGAAGACATGCTGCTACAGAATTCTTCAGGTTCAGATGCTTTGTAAAATTCTAGATCTTCCATTATAGCTGTATGTTAGCTTCTCTTCTGCAGAAAGGTTTGAAAGATTGCTCCTCAGATCTTACAGGCATTTCCTCACTCCAACACACCCACACCCCCACTGCAGAGGAAAGTGTTCCTCATTGGATAAATGTACGCTAAAGAACTTTGCAGGATTATTGGCTTATTTCATTATATTGCATATTTACAAATATCATTAGTGAATGGCTACTGCCAATACCATCTGTCCAATGCCAAGGGCTCTTTAGGAACAGTTTATATGGCAAAAGCATTATAGTGAAGGAGATTAGATTTTACTTACCTTGATGAGTCATTGTGACAGGTTCTTCACTGGATACATTGTTGTAAATGACCACAGCTGTGGCATTATGTGAAGCTGCTCGCAGGATTTTCTCTTTAAATGTACAATTTCCTCTCTGTAGTAAAGCAATCCACTGCTTGGTGTTTGGTGGGACCTGGAAACGTGTTCGAGGGTCACAGCCCAGACGATCTGCAACTGAAATGAGAAACAAAGTTACACTGACGCCAATTTCTTTTAACAGGCAAAACAAAGAAAAAAAAAAAAGTTGCTGAAGTACTTTAATGCTATGCACTGGGAAGCCACTATTCTCTTGTGAAGAAAGTCTAAAGATAACCATATTCTTATGAAAATAAGATTTAAAAAAAAAGAAGTCTCACGCATTGAAAGCTGTGACTACATGCCCAAGAATTAGGCTCACTAACACAAGCTATTTTTAACTCCAGTGCAGCTAGAATAATGAATTCACATTCAAATCAATACCTGCCTAGAGGCCAAAAAACATTAGAATATGGTTCATCTGCTACAGGCATTTACAAAACAGCTGTTTATCAGTCATTCTGGGGAGTACAAGTCTTTTTTTTTCTTCCTAATGCGGCCACAAATATCACTGCAGTGGGAAGTACAACTAAACAAAGCAGGTTGTGAAAACAAGATTTCAGTGTTATCTGCCATGTGCAGGCTACTGTAAAAAAGGACAACATTAAAAGCTGATCTTGTAAAACCCCAGCAGCCAACATCAGCATTTTACATATGCACATTTTGTCTACAAGGAAATGTATTCGAATTCATAGAGAAACAAATGGGTTTGCAAACACAATGCACTCGTTAGGTATAGATGGTATAAAGGAAGAGTAACAGAAATGGCAAATGCCAGATGTCTGAATTCAAGAGTGTGCAAAGCTCTTTTGTCCCTTCTGATGGTGTAACATATCCTGGAACAAGCCAAAGCCACGGAGCTGTGTACAGAAGGCACAAAACCCAAGGCAGAAGGAACTTCCCACCAGCTGAAACCGATGAAAGGCAGATCTGTTTGCACAACTGGAAGCACAGTTTAGTCTGATACACTGGTCATATCATTAAAGGATTTTAATTTAGAGCCAACAACAGTTTATAATGCAAATATATTTATCCTTTTGAATGCCAAGAGTATAATAATCTCTGGCTACTAAAAATAGTTGGGATAAACAACTTGATTTTTTCAAGACATAAAACCCAATCTATTTGCATAATAGCTCAGAAAACATTACAGTTCTGCAATGTAAGAGCAAATCAAATGACGTCTCCCATAATTTTTTTTCCTTTTCAAGAAATGAGTTCAGCACAACTATGAAATTTCAGCAAAAAAATCTACCACCAAAAATAACCAGTTTAATGTATTAGCTGGAAACAAAAGGTCTTTTCAAACACTCTCAGTTTAACATAGCTGAGGTTAAAATCTGTAACAAAGGAGATTCAAAGAGCTAAAGATGTTTTCTGAAACAAAGAAAATCTGCTTGCTAAAGAAGGCTAGTTCAGATGAATCTATACTGTGGCAGACATACAGGAAGTCATTGCATCTCTTAATTTGGACAAGAAGTGCCTCTCCCTGTTCCCGTGGAAGGAGGGTGGGGAGCCAGATACCAGCACATCCTTTTCACAATTGTTTTTCAAGCCTGTATTAGACATCTCAGACATGGAGGGCTATTTGCTGTATTTTTGTTTCATACAGGCATCAGGGAAAATCTGAAATACAGATGCCTGAAGCCAAGTTTTATAGTATTTTCTTCCATTACCCTGACATCATTACTCGACTCCTTGTGGAAATTGCTAGCTAGCACTGATCCACACGTGTTTTGCAGCACTGGTGATGGCCATCACAAACACCAACAATCACAGAAGAGCATGTTCATGCCCACTGCTCTTTTGCAGCTCGTCTTTGTAATCTTAAACTTGAAAATTATATGTATTTTTTAAAGGAATTACAGTCCTTTTTGAAAACATCCAAGAATTACAACACGGCACGTGTTTTTGCCCTCTCTTAAGACAAAAGCTGTTTAATGCACAATTCCCCTCTGCTCTGAACATTTTCACTCAAAAACAAGGAAGGGGGAAAGCACTAGTACACTGTCATAGGAAGTTTCTCAAGCCTTGAAAGCAAAAACTCCCATCCTTCTCCCATGAAATCATATTCAAGAATCTCAGGTATGACACATCTGTTGGAAAATACCATTTTCTAAATGGCTACAATTCCATAGAATCCCCTCAAACAGCCAAAAATAATTCTGAAAGTAGACACTCTGACCAACATAAATTTACCTAAAATATATGGGATTATTAAAAAACAGTAATCCTACAGATTATGTACTGTTTCCTTCAGTACAATCATGATCACAACTAAAATATGAAGTGAAAACAAAAATGACCACAAGAAGAAGGTAATGGGTTATTACAGTGAAAAACCATAAAAGCAACAAAGAGCATCTTGAATGAGGAAGAAGCATTCTCCAAATTATGCAGGCACCTTGAAATTTGTATGCTTGAAAATTTTTAGCTTAAAAAGCAACAGAGAAAGCAGTAAGAGATAACAGAAACTGCATCGGTGGGAAAAGTAGTACAAAATTTTCTACCACAGTAGAGATCAAAGTCTCTCTCAGCTGTGGACAGAGCTAAGAAATGTTACTGGATAAAGCAAAAGAATTAGGAAACAAGATATTAAGAGATTAAAGCTTTCCAGATATAGACCAACAAACACCACTCAAATGCTTACAGCGTGTTATTCCTGACGAGGTGTATTCAGTATATCCTGATGAAAATTTAACAGCTGACAACATTAGCTCAGTACTATTTAGGTAATACAAAAACATTGAGAAAAATCTGGTTGGTTTAGATCAATCTGAACTGTTTGCAAGTCACCTGAGATTTAACAAAAAGTAACAACCCACTTTTCTTTGCATTAGCATTCTATTACACCACACAAATGTTAAGTAATCTTTTCACTTTTAACTAAATAAAATTCAGAAACAATAGTGAAAAATGTGGCGTGTTCTGCTTGTTTTTTCAACAGACTGAAGATATTCTGAAAAGTGAGTTAGTCTTAAAATCACAGTCCCCCTTCTAGAATAGTGAGATGTTTACAATGAAACATCTGTACAGCTCAGGTGTCAGGGATATCAGTGGGCACTGAAGGGGACACACGTGAACAGGGTCAGCCAGAATCACCTCTGACACTCTCCACTACCCTGCTATCTATGATCTCCTATCCAAAGTTCAACTAGAATCAACAACAAACACGGGTTGCAAGCATTATCTGGATGATCACAGAATTGTTTGGGTTGGAAAAGACCTCTAAGATCATTGAGTCCAACCAGTAATCTGGCACTGCTGTGTTCACCACTAAACCATGTTCCTGAGTACCACATCTACAAGTCTTTTAAATCCCTCCAGGTATGGTGACTCCACCACTGCCCTGGGCAGTCTGGTTCAGTGCTTGACAATCCTTTTAGTGATGAAATTTTTCCTAATATTGAATCTAACTTCCTCCAGGCACAGCTTGAGGCAGCTTTCCTCTCACTGTGCCACTTGCTACACCTGGGAGAAGAGGCTGAACACACCTGGCTCCACGCTCCTGTCAGGAAGCCTTAGACAGCAAGAAGATCCTCCCTGAGCCTCCTTTTCTGCATCTCCCTCAGCCTCTCCTCATCAGACCTGTGCTTCAGCCCCTTCCCCAGCTCCTTTGTCCTTCTCTGGACATGTTCCACTATCTCAATGTCTTTCTTGTAGTGAGAGGTCCAAAACTGATGGTACTTGAAAGAATGAAAAGCAACTTCATATTAAATTATTCTAAAACAAATCACTTGCACAGAGAAAGATATGATCAGAGGCCACTCAATGAAGTTCAGAAGATATAAGCATATATTCCCTATAGGTGCACTACTCTTCTGGCTTATTTGAAATATAAGACCCTGCCTGTCTCTGTGTTTATCTATGCATCATGTGTTGGCAAAAACCCCAGTTTTCTGGTTTAGAAGTGGCAGCCTGCTGGGCTAAAGAGCTATGTACAATGTTGTTGTAAATATCTCCCTTCCTACCCTAAGTCCTAACACCACAGAAGAGCCTCTTTACAGAAGAATCAGCTATGATTTAAGTACCTACCATTAGGCTCATGTTTGTTTTCTGCTTTAGGAGAGCTTCAGATTCCTTTTGCAGAACACACACGGCTGTTCAATTTGTGTAAGAATCAGCTATGATTTAAGTACTACCATTAGGCTCATGTTTGTTTTCTGCTTTAGGAGAGCTTCAGTTTCCTTTTGCAGAACACACACGGCTCCTCAATTTGTGTAACTCTTTCTCTTTGAGAATTTTTTATAACTCAAGACCCCTTTCTACTACAGAAATAAGGTTTGTGACAGCATTTTAGGGATTCATGGGGAAAAAAATAGTTAATAATGCAACAGATCCAACCAAGGTTCCTCAACTACTGAAGCTGTAGTGGCAAGCTCAAATCAGCACAGCAACAGTACCTTCCTTCACAGAACCTTATCTTCTTTTCCAATTGCTTGACCATGTTTTAGCCTTCTTCCTATAAGAAGAGGAGCCATTTTGTGGAGCAAAAATGAAACAAAAAGGGCAGCTCCCAGCAGCTTTGTCACAAGTGCACACCTGTCTGAATGCAGACTGTCCCTAGTTCTGAACTGTGCCTGGGTTTGCTCTTTCTCACACTGTGTTCCTGCTGCTCTTGCCCCTTCAGCCAAGGTTGCTGCACTGGCTGTTATCAGACTTTATCCCCTTTTCACAGAAATATCCCACTCTCTAGGCATTAACCATTTTATTCTATGCAGGGCTTTTCTCTCTTTTTTTTCCTCTAAAGGTCAGATATCTTGCTATTGATTTCATCTTAGCTAATACTGTACTCTGTAAATCCAGCACCAGTTGCCAGAGCTGGTCTGTCTCAGCTACACATACAGAAATCATTTTCAAGTCTGACCTTCAATCACTGTAATACAATAGCTGGAGAGACACCACTAGTATTTTGAGGGACAGCAGATCAAGAGGTTTGTTGGTAAAGAAACCACAGAGGAACACAGGAAGGTGCAGTGCCATGCATGCTGCACCCCAAAGCATTCCCTCCCCACAGCTCTGCTGCCCAGGTAGGTGCTATGTAGAACACCTGACTGGTAAAACAAGACAGTTTTGTGCAACACATTCATTATAATCCT